GGACTGTTTTGTACGGTCAGCCACTCATCTTCATCATCATGAGGCCGGACAGTCGAGCTGAGCGTGGAAGACTGAAGAGAGAATGAGGCCGACGGTGGTAATCCACTCCCATGGCCAATCAGAGAATTCTTCACTAATTATAACTCCGAAACGCTGCCAACTGAGATGAGAACGCAGTATGTGCAGGTAGTATATTATGCGTATGTGGATTGACTGGTTGACGCATTGTGGCCGCCTCCTAATTTAGTCTCTATTGCACTTCCCTTGGCGCACTATCCAAGCCGGTATTACCTGCGAACAGATTATGCGTCGACACGGTCGTGAAACACGTGTAGACTAGCTTTTTGACTTTCTCAGTCTCTGCATCATGCCGACCTCCTGTTGACTCGACACTTTCTTGCCAACAGAGGCTGATGATCAAGAAGCGGGTATGGGGTAGATGCTGCGTAAGCCCGTCCATCACCGATCGTCTTACGGAACTCACTCGTTCCGTTGTAACTTACGGGCTTTCCCTCGAGCCCAACCACAAACAGCATAGCGGCGCCTGATATAGGCAGAATGTCATTCTCGACAAAGACGGAACGATTGATTTCCGTAAGAACGATCGGTGAGCACCCCCTACCATTTTATATTCCCGGTAGAAACCGACCGGACAACTTGCTCGCGGCTCAGCGGTTAGAGGCGTGGACTTCTAACTAGCATGTCGCCAGTTCGAGCCTCGCGTGTTTCCCACTTCGGGGTTGGGTATGAATGGCTGACGACGGCTAGTAAGCCAGAAATGCCCATTCCAGTCTCCCTTGTTTTTTTCCGGTAATAACATAGTGACTCTGCTTCTTTACATTACCAGTCTTGTCATTTTATTTTATTCTTTCTTACACTCATTTAGCTTACATTGTTATACCTCTTTCTTATTCTACGTTTTTCATTTTTTTCCAAATTACTGACAGTTATTGCGTCTCCTGGTATAGCTCACGATTTGCGTTATTTGCACTTTCTATTAACGCTTGCGGCAAATTCCCATTGGCTGCTAGTCCTCTTGGAACCCGACCTTTATTTATTCAGCTGACGACGGTTAATTCAAGCGCCCGAATTTCCTTGACTATAGTTTCTGGTTAGGTTTTCGAATTTTTGCGCGTACTTGTTGCTTACCTTCTAAGCACATAGGAAGGCTTTCGATGCTATTTTACTTGCTTTCTCGTTTTTTATCGAATTACGTTTGCGTGCATCAAAATGCCCCACCCGTATAAGTCCCACCGGTCCCGTTAGACAGGGTCGTCGAGCTATCTGTTGCTGATTGCAGGTACAAACCATAACATTGCCGGGTCTTCAGATTACAAGTTGGCTTTCTTCCGCTTATGAAAAATTGGCATTGCTGGGGTGAAGGAGCCCACTTAACTGTCAGCAGTGTGTGAATTCTGGCAAAAGAAAGCGGTGGTAATGAGCGCTTTACGGGTAGGGCAGCTAGGCACACAGTTAGTTCCGCTGAAAGTCTTATTGTACGCTTTCGCATGGTTACGCAAATGAGTGTGTTAATTAAGAAGTAAGCAACAAACAAATTTTCCAAATTGAAGGAGCTTGAGTAATGGTTCGCGGTCATGAATAGTAATCGTTGATGGCAGTGTGATGTCTGCCAAAGGCCTACAAGTGGATGCCAGGAAAAAACCCCATACGACAGGATCCACAGTCTCCTGACGGTTAAATGTGGCCCTTTACCCTAGTGTTACCGCAAATCATTAAGCCCGTTTAACTATAATCGCGCAAGTCTTCTCCGTGGGGCCCACCACAAAGCTGATCGGAGGGGCAGTAAGTTAAATTTCGCTTATGTCCGGACACAATAGGTAAATGAAGGCCAACAGGAGCTAGATTTATCCTGTTTATCGTGTCATTTGCCGAAGTCGACAGACAGCACTCAGCAGTGCCTTAGGTTTAATTCAGTTTTGACTCACTACCATTAGCGAGTTTTGCCTCTGATCTTTCGTAAAATTGGCCGAAATAATTCAGTAATGCGCTTACATGGAAAATAGAAGTTTAATCTCGATAATTATAAAGGAATTATATTTGTTAGTATTTACATTTCCCCCTCTTCCTGTGAAGGTGCTCTTATCCATTTTTCGACTTTCTTTCACAAATCTTGCTATATTATCCTGCGAATATCTTATTCACTTATGCGGTGATTTTAAAGGCGTAAATTCGCGTTCCCTAACACTCTTAGTCTTCGGTGATCTTGTCTCCTTTAATGCACGCGCAGATGCCCCTCTTGATCATATTCTGACAAACCGCAGCAGGTTTTTTTGCGTAAAAAACAGGGCTCCATTGTCAGATTCTGACCATTCCTTTTTATTGTGCCTTCCAAAAATCTATTCCACTTCAAAACGTGCACTGCTTGCCAAGCCTGAGAGAAAGGTTAAGGTTCGCAACACGTCCGCCCAAAACATTTTCATGCTTCAGACTTGCATGTCTCTTACTATCCCCACTGTCCTTGAACATACTAATGTTGAATCATGTTCTTCCAACCTGACAGCGTTTTTAAATGAAATTTTCGATATTTGCTGTCCTTTTGAAACTGTAATGGTACGACAGGTTAGAATTTATTCCTTCTATCTGAAATCGTTAAAACGGAAAAAAAGCAGTCCTTTACAAGCTAGGCTTACGTGATAGCCTTATGGACGTTACCGTCTTAATAAAAACAGAGATTGACAGGCTAAATAGCCTGTTTGTTAGCCAACCTTTTTCCTCTTCTTCCTCTTTCCCCCTTTTCCCCCTTCCTCATCTGGGATTTGAAAAAACCTTAAGCGTCTCACGGGCCATTGCAAATCACAGGTGCTTGTGGATGTAGATTTAGACTCCCTAAATAAAAATTTTATATTTAGTCACAATGACTCCCAATTTCCCTTAGATGACATTCCCTTATCACCGTATACATTCCAACCCGTGTCTTTGGCAACAGTATAGAAACACCTTAAAAAGGTCCGTGGATCAACAGCTGCCAAACCGGATGGTGTCTTCCCTTTTCTTCTTAAATCTTATAGTTCTAAGATTTTAGCGCACTTAAATAATATGTCTTTCATGGCGTCGAAGACTCCCGACGCCTGGCGTACAGTGAGAATCACTTCCACCCTAAAAAGCCCGCTAACTTTGGTCCTTAATCTTTTCGTCCAATTGCCTGCTCCTCCGAATTATTAACGCTGGCTGAAAGAGTTGCTTCAGATATTATAAAGCCTTTTTCCTCTTGTTTTTCCGACCCTCTGCAATTTGCATACAAAGCCAAACGGAGTACTTTAGATGCTGTTGCTCTTGTGGTCCACAATGCTCTTAAAGCATTAGACAAGGGTTGCAACGAGTACGCATGCGCTTTTCTAGATTACTCCTCCGCCTTCAATACCGTCCCGCGCCCTCTTCTCCTTTCTAAAATCTCCGCGCACGGCTCTCCAGGTTGGGTCGTCTCTTGGCTTAGCGATTATTTTACCTCCCACACTCAACTTGTCCAATATGGCAAGCGGCAATCTACGATCCATCCCAATGACTGTGGTTTTCTTTAAGGTTCCATTCTATCCCCTCACCTTTTCTCTCTCCACACTGACGATCTAACGTCCCCTAATGACTGTCTTTTGGTCAAGTATGCTTATGATGTGGTTGTTGGACATCCTCTCAAAAGTCAGACACACTTCAAGTCTCTAAGGGATGGCTTAAATCATGCCCTTGTATGGTCGGAGGAAAATGGTATCTTAATGAGCAAAGACAAATCAGTTCAGTATATTTTTCGACTGAGGCCCTCTCCTAGTCCATAATCCTATGACATTCTTCCTAACAAAGTATTCTCTTTCAGGAACCTCGGCGTTACTTTGTCCATAAATCTGACATTTTTCCTCCATATTAAGTCACTACTTATTAAACTTCGTAAACCTCTTTATTACATTCGTCGTTTACGTTCCTACCACACACCTCAGCTCTTAGTCTGGCGATTTATCGATGCCTACATTCTTCTCTTATCCTATACTGCTCTCCTGTCATTTTCTCCTGGTTTGCTTAAAAATGATCTTTTAATTTTGAAACGAGTACTCCGCATGCTCTCTTCTGCTGCTGGTGTTTCTTATCTTTTTTAGGTGACACTATCTTCCAACGGCATTTCAATGCGTTCAAACAATTTGGTCGTCGGATTATAGATGACGTTGCCCATCCCTTGCATTCTAATCTTATTTCTGCGTGGTCTTCCTGCCCAATGCGCCGCAGCTTCCGACTTATTTTATGTCGCAAATCGCCTTATCGGGCTTCTGTATTACCATTCCTAGCGAGCTATCTTACGAGCGAAGATATAGAAATACAGAACCTGAGATTAGAACTATCCTCATAATAATCGTTTATTTGTGTTAAACTTAAACTCTTGAATAATATATTAACTTATTAACTGCCCATAGTGAATGAAGCCAATTTCTGCTGAAAATTTTGAATTTATGGCTTCAAAATAAAGCGACTTCCCCTCTTTCCTTCTGAAGTATTGCTGAGAAGTGAGAATAATCAGAGATAAATCAAGCTAAGCAAAACTTCCCTGTGTGCACAGAAGAACTTCATACAGTTCCCACAGATGCCATGGCCCAAAGTCACCAAGTCACTTGCCCGCATATAATCACCGTTTCGGGTGTCCACCACCCCTTTGGCGTTGACTGGCATTTTGGTGCTTCACTCCCCTCCATCCCCCTCAAACCCGAGGTACAGCATAATTATATAATGTCCTGTATCTTTTGATTTGCTATTTCATTAGCCATATCAATGCACATGCCTGAAATGAACTTTTAGAGAATTGATGTATTCTTTTATAAATGTCTTCTTAATTTTACAGATCCCTCTCGATGGTCTCAGAAATTTCGGGCGTTTCCAACACTTTAACGAGCACACTGATGCTTAACAAAAACAAATTGCATCATCCCCGTTAGTGTTTTAAAACAGGCGTACATTTTATAAAGCCACCAAGAGGGTTATATATATAAATAGTACATGTCGTTTTAAGGCGTATGCTGCTCGAAGTATTTTAACAAGGCTACTAGTGGCGTCTGTTGTGTTAATAATCCTTCTTTAGGTCCATGAAGGTATACACCTGGCAACTGGTGCATGCGGATGCCCAGCTTCGTCGCTGTCATGCCCACATAGGCGTCCTCCATGGAGAACGGCTTGGTGAAGGCTGCGGCTATCGAAATTGCTTCCACAGCCTCCGCGCCGATAAAGTAGCATGGACCAGCGGCGTAGTCCGGATACATATAGAAGGGCATATCGCATCTCGTAAGGGCCCACTTGTGCTCTGGACTGCGAATGACCTTTGGCGTGCCGTGTATGTGGCCAAAGACAGATTGCCGCAGCTGTCGCCTTTCGAAGGCGCGAAAATAGGGGAGCAAAGCTGACACATTGAGGCCATGATCATCATCCATGAAGGCGACCAGCGGAGCGGCTCCCTGACAGGCCACATGAGCATATCGCAGGTTCGCCAGAGTTTTCAGAGTCAGGTTATAGTAGGTGTCCATGAAGTCGGTCTGGATGATGTCATCAAAACGCGCGGCCTCATCGTTGATGGCATCCAGGAGTCGTGATTGGTTGACGGTGCCGGCCGGGACGCCTAGGCTGAAGAGGAGCCCGAGAGGACTGGCCAGCGTGGCCGCTTGACGGCTGATCATCTGGCGCAGTTGAGACCGGCGTGCTGCATTGTCTGGTGAACTCTTGACAATGATGATTAGGTCGTACCGTGCGCGACTCCGATTTCCGGTGAGAGGGCAGATTGACTGACTTGTGCGTAGCAGCACAAGTTTGGGGTTATTGATGGGGGCCTGAAAATGTGTGGTAGTGGGTTTCATAAACTACGCCAAAATGTACTTTAACCCACTCTAAAGAAAAGATGATGTTGGTACAGTGGATGTGCTTTTTCATTAACGTTAACCGAAATCCCGAAACGTATCTTTGATAAGAAAAGATTACTTAAGTAGGGTCGTAAGACTAAATGTCGCGCGACATAATAGCAGGATCCATCAATCACATCAAAATGTCGGTTTTTGAAGGATTTTCTTGCAAAAACTACACGACTGCTTACAGTAGGTGTGCTAACTCATGAAATGTAAACCGAAATTGTGAAATACGTTTCCGATCCGAAAAAAATTGCTTAAGCAATGTTGTAATAATAATTGCCTTGCGATATCATTTTATATTACTTTAGTTACCACAGAATTCGGGCTTTTAAAAAAAACTTCCTTCTGACCGCCTGCAAAAATTGCATTCTGCAAAAATCGACTATTTATTAAGTACGAACTTTCCCTACCGACTTTCGATGTTCTTATAAATCCAATTATATTTCCTGGAAAACATGTAAAGAAATCGTCATTTTTTTGAAAAATTTCGTCTTCTATTTTTATTCTTAAAGCAATCGTGTAATTCAGTTTCAAAAACGTTTCGAACTATGAGATTGTTAAGACCATGAAATGTTGTTCTCTGTATTTACTAATTTTGCTTGTAGAGTTTATAGTAGGGCTCTTATCCACTGCCAGATTTCATGAACCCTATATAGTCTCCTCCTAATATTGTAGGGGAATATAAAATTTTCCGTACACAGAAAATAGATAGATTTAGGTTTTACTACCCCGAATGCACGGAGAACGGCAAGTAGGCTTTAAAAGTTCTCGAAAATTGACGATTTTTAAAGGCGATTTATACCCTTAGTTTAAGAATAAACTTGGTAGAGGGCGTATTTTACTACCGAATGAGTAAAAACAGGAATATGTTAATGTATACATGTAATGAAAAATATTTGATTTTATTTAGCCATCGAAAATCTATGTGAGAAATTCATAACAAATAAGTAGCCAATCTTAGCAGAGTGTAGTTTTTGCAGGCGAGTAGATGGGAGTGCATTTAAAAGCGGGAATCCCGAAGTAACTGAATTATTATGGGATTATTTTGCAAGGCGATCAATACTATAATCATACTCAAATTATATTTTCAAGTTGAACAGTTCTTCCGAAATTCGATTTACAATTAATGACTTGACACATCCACTTAGCGTCGTATTAACCTTTCCAATTTGTTCTCCATGTGCTTTTAGATTTAAATATATTTATGAAAAGTGCGCAATAATATTCATTTCTTTGTTCATTTGGCAGAAAATTGTGTCTTCTGTAAATTTCATACTTAAAGGTAGTGCATAATTCAGATTTAAGAAACTTTCCAGTTTCCGAAATATTTGACCCTTGTCTGCCGTTACACTTGCATTCATGGTTTCCAAATTACAAATTCCATATTTCATCTGCGGGAAAAATCACATATTTATATATTATATTAAGATGTGGTTTAGTGCTCGTAAAATTTTGCGGTAGATGTGGACCATGATGTATTCTTTACAGGCAGCATTAATAAAAGGACGGAAAGCATGATTTAGCGGTAGAAATGTCACGATCTCAAAATGTCTCATGATTGGACGCTTTTTAAAAACAAAATAGTTGTCGGCAAGTAAGATTAGAAGATCAGGCAGAAAAAGGATAGGGAAAAATTGTGTTCGGAAAAGTGAACCTGCAGATGGAAGATCACTCTGCTTCAAGATATTCGAGGCAGTATATCGATGCTAGTGGGAGTGGGAAATTTCCCTTGATGGAGAACTAATCACAAATTTACGTTAACGGCTAACCTACCATGGTTACGCCAGGCAAAGCTCTTTGCTGCCCTAAAAAACTGACAGTTGAATAGGTAAGACGTCTAAAGTTTAATAGAAATGTCGTTCGTGGGAGGTGTTCACTTCTAATCCAGGATGCTGAAAGTGAATAACAAGTATTCAAAGTTGTATATTATTATGGTTAACAGGCACAAATTATTAGTGCGAGGACGCTATTAGGAACAAACTATACAACAACAGGAGTTAATCATATCCGAACTATAATAATGATACAATTGGAAATAAGGCTAACGCTTTAGTGAGGCTCTTCCCATGTTGGTGCCAGCAGTTTGCTCTGCAAATAACAGGAAAACGAAACCATTAAGATACCGTCTATCATCTGTGCAGAAACTGTTGTTTAAACCAAACCAATATAGTCCATGCCTCCCAGAGCAGCAGAAGGTAATTATCTGAATTTATGAAGAAACGTGTCGTTTTATAACTGTTGACCGACCACGGCCACGCATTTGATAACTTGCGTATTCAAGAAAAACACTCACAAACTTATGAAGCATCTTATGAATTAACAGAGCAGAAGTCGGAAGAAAATAATTCGCTCGAAGACTTTCATTCTGTCCGTATATGTGGCAGTTCAAAACCTTCGCTTTTCTTCAGCTAAATGGTCCCACCGCAGATATGCTGGTCACGAACCTTGGTGAGGACAAAGCCGAGAAAATTAATTTGGCGTTCGCTGTTCATCGTAAATCAACTTCAAATAACGAATATATCCAAACGCAGGGCAAAATGGAAAATAGAGACCTTAGTTTAATTTATTTTGACCAGGTGGGCATAACTTGCGAATAGGAGCAGTTTTACCTGTCTGGCGAGGTAGTGATTTAATGAGTCCAGTTTATTTTTGGACACTGCTAACCTGAACACTGCTCAGTGCACAGGTATGTCTTTACTAGAGCAGTTTTCAGCACTTATTGATTTGGTGGAATAACCTGAAGACTCGATCTGAACAATGCATCCAGTGCGGAAAATCTGACATGATGTGAAAACTCTACGCGCCGTTGAAGAGAGTGTGTGGCAAATATAGCCTTCGGCGAAGAATGAAGGAACAGTCTTTACAAACTATCGACCTTGATTTACGTCCAGGATACCAAAATGTTTACCCTAAATGTTAAATTCAAGTCGAATTTCTAACACCTGACTCTAATTCGATTCCTAGCCATTGACCAAAAAAATCATCTTGAAGTCAAAAGCAATGTCCTCCGACGGGCGTGAGTTTTCGGGCACATTACACTCCCATTGTGTGTCACACGCCAACATAAAAATAAGGCCCTGACATTGGTAAGCCTGAAAAAATGGAAGGGCTTGCATGGCTGACGTTTCGAAGACCTCGGGCGGCCTTTAATTATTAATGCGTCTAGTGAAAATCGAACAGAGTTTTGAATGGACATCCGGATTAGTTGGTCCTGGACTGGTCGACTTTGGTTCTTCTTTCGCTGCCTTGGCCTACCGGTCGTCGCCTGTGAGTGTTGGTGACCTCCTCTATTTTGTGTCGTCACCTCAACTGGAGTTAGTTGCGTTTGCGTCCCCCTTTTGGACGAATTGGTTGACAGGCCATGTTTGCTCGGTAGTCTTATGCTCCGTATGAGCGTTTTGTCTTCGTCACATCGTGTGTAATGAAGTAAGACTTTATAGGCTGAAGGGAGGTCTAGACGCCTGTTGATAGATTTGGCATCTGATTACCATGGCTCAAGTGTGAGACGCTCTGCCCTAAAGGTGCTCCAGGCTAAGAGGGCTGTTCCTTGAAAATCCAAATCGTGACCAGTTTCTCTGACGTAAGCAGCCGAACAGGGTGTTTGAGACTAGTCTCCGAGCTGCTAGTTTGTGCAAATGTAGGCGGGTCTGCAATTACCGTCTGGTTTCCCTAACGTAGTTGCAGTCTTCATCGTTACAACGTATTTAATAGACAACAGCTGAGGTTTCAGTGGGTGGCAGCATGTACTTGTATTGTATCAAAGGGCGACGAATTGATACCTGGGGTCGATGGGCAATGCCTACCCTGGCGCGTTATAACAGTCGTGAAACCGCCCTGGAGACTCCTTTCTTGTAAGAAATAGCCCTTAAGATTTCGGTTTGTTCTTCTTGTGTCCGTCGCCTGTCGACTCGGCACTTACTTTGCTTGATGGAGTAGCTTCGGTATCCATTGGTTCGAAAGAGTTCATGAAGGTATTGTCGTGCAACTCTTTTGTCGGCTGGTGTGTTTCAATTTTTTGAAATAGAGTACGGTCACGGCTGCGTTTGTGAGACAGGGGACGATTGCTGTTGAAGTGTAGTACTTGTCTTTTGTTGATGACTTTTTTGAAAAAGGTTGTTTCTAATTGCCCAGTTGCACACAGACGCACAAGTATATCGAGTAGTGGATGTTGGTTGTTTGATTCAGCTTCCATTGTGAATTGAATATTGGGGTCTACCAAGTTCGGTAATTCTTTGAGGGACTTCACGTCGGATGATTTGACAATGACAACGGTATCATCGACGTAACGAGCCCAGAGCTTTGATTGATAATTGGTGACCACCAAGTGTTCTACCCGTTGAAGAAGCTCATCTGTGAGCACTTCGTTTTCATCAGAATATCAACCCGGATCTCCTACTTTTGCTAACCTGAACTGGTAAGTCCGATTAATTTTAGCTTAGCTGCACCATATATCCGTCGAAAAATTTTAACCTCTCCTTACATGTACCTCTGACAAATACTGCTTGAAATGCGGCAGTAGTCTCTAGCATACATGAAAAATATGCGGCAATCTAGAAAAATAAACTCCTCCACATTTATCGTCACTTGCACTTCAACCCCAAGTCGGAGGGTAAACAGCGAAGTGCATATTAACTAGTTTCCCAGTTCTGCGACTTCCTAAAACCTGATATAAATCACCCTTCGTATTGCTAAACAGATATGTCAAAAGCCCCTCCCCTCGCGTATGCTATGTTGCACAGCTATGCGGAAAAAGGCAGCCCATCAGAGAAAGATGTGATGCCTAAGACAGCAATTCTACTTGTCTGACTCCCTTGAACCCATTCTCGGGGGTAAAAATACAGGCAAGGGTTGCGGAGGCATAAAGACTAAAATATTAATAGTACGCAACCGCCTTGGCACAATATGCGTACTGTACTCAAGACCTCTCGCGATCACCGCCCTAGATCATGCTG